ACACAATATAATTATGCCAGTGTCAATTATATTGGTAATTTATTGTCAACAAGTATGACTGTAACAATACAGAGAATAAAAAAGATTCAGGAAATGTTTTTTGACAAATAGGTTCCTTACTAGGCATATTAATATAGAACTTTGAGTAATAATTTATTTAAACTACAATACAGAAATGTATTTCCTCCACTCCTCAGAAGCAGTGCAAACGCTTGGGGGAGTCAGGGTAACGGAGAAGCTGAGGGAGAGGGAAGCAATTACTAGGAAGAAGCATGGGAGTGAACCTGGAGGGTTAGTGGGGAAAGTATGAAACAGATTTTTTTGGGGGGAAGGGATTGTTAGGGAGTTGGGGAGCCTCACCCATGCAGACCCTGGCTGATCCCTAGCCTCTTTCATTCAGTCAGTCACATCTGCCCCATCCCCATGTGTGCCTGAACATCCATTCTCCATTCAACCAAGCACATCTGTACATGTTGCCATGTGGCCTTGCACCTCCACTCTCCCCTGTCCCTCATGTGCCCCTGTATCCTCACTCAGCCAGGCATAGCTGCCCCTGTCTCCATGTATCTGTGCACCCTCCTCCCCTGTCCCTATGTATCCCTACACCCCCATTCTCCCCATGTGGCCCTGCACCCCTATTCCCATTCAGCCCCTGGCTCAATACTATCACCCCACTAGCTCCTGTGCCCCCATCCCAATCTGTTCCCCCCACTAGCCCTTCTGAACCCCAGCCTGTGTGACCCCCCCCAGCAGCCCTGTGTGCCCCACTCTGTTTATCCCCTGCCCCTCCCATAGCCTGTACCTCCTCACCTGTCCCTGCAGACATGGGGCTGTGAGAAAAATAACCTCTCCCTCTCCGCTGTTGGCTGCTCCAGGCCATGACGCCACGCCCTCTCTTCTGACACAACCTGGTGGGCGAAAAGTGTAATTACACTTCCCTTTGCCTCCCCATCAGAAGCAATTATGCTGGAGGGAGAGGCCGAGCGAATCTGTGAGGACCATTAATGCTGTGCTTGTGCACGTGCAGAATTCCCACAGGAATACACTGTGGAGAAGCTAAATGAATTCTCTGCATCAGTCTTCACTGCTGAAGATGTAAAGGAGATTCCCACACCTGAGCCGTTCTTTTTATGTGACAAATCTGAGGAACTGTCCCAGACTGAGTGTCAAGGTTCCTTCCCCTCTCTGAACTCTAGGTAGGGTACAGATGTAGGGACCTGCATGAAAGACCTCCAAAGCTTATTCTGACCAGCTTAGGTTAAAAACTTCCTCAAGGTACAAACTTTGCCTTGTCCTTGAACCCTATGCTGCCACCACCAAGCATGTTAAACAAAAGAACAGGGAAAGAGCCCACTTGGAGACGTCTTCCCCCAAATATCCCCCCAAGCCCTACACCCCCTTTCCTAGGGAAGGCTTGATAAAAATCCTCACCAATTTGCATAGGTGAACACAGACCCAAACCCTTGGATCTTAAGAACAATGAAAAAGCAATCAGGTTTTTAAAAGACGCATTTAAATTAAAGAAAAAGTAAAAGAATTGCCTCTGTAAAATCAGGGTGGTAAATACCTTACAGGGTAATCAGATTCAAAACACAGAGAATCCCTCTAGGCAAAACCTTAAGTTACAAAAAACACAAAAACAGGAATATACATTCCATTCAGCACAGCTTATTTACCAGCCATTTAAACAAAAGAAAATCTAATACATTTCTAGCTAAATAGCTTACTAACTTTTTACAGGAGTTCTGAAGAGCATTCCTGATCTGGTCCCGGCAAAAGCATCACACAGAGAGACAGACCCTTTGTTTCTCCCCCCGGCGCCCCCACCCCTGCCCTCCAGCTTTTAAAGTATCTTGTATCCTCATTGGTCATTTTGGTCAGGTGCCAGTGAGGTTATCTTAGCTTCTTAATCTTTTACAGGTGAAGGGATTTTGCCTCCGGCCAGGAGGGATTTTATAGTTCTGTATACAGAAAGGTGGTTACCCTTCCCTTTATATTTATGACACTGAGGTTTTGGAACAAACTGATAAATTAAGCAGTAATAAGTCTCCAGGACCAGATGGCATTCACCCAATAATACTGAAGGAACTCCAATATGAAACTGCAGAACTACTTAACTGTGGCATGTAACCTATTGCTTACATCATCCTCTGTACCAGATGACTGCAGGATAGCGAATATAACACCAATTTTTTAAAAATGCTCCAGAGAAGATCCTGGCCCTTAACTCTAACATCAGTACCAGGCAAATTGGTTGAAACTATAGTAAAGAACAGAACTATCAGACATATAGACGAACACGATATGTTGGAGAAGAGTCAACATGACTTTTGTAAAGGGAAATCCTCACAGACCTATTATAATTCTTTGAGGGTGTCATCAAGCATGTGGACAAGGGTGATCCAGTTGGTATAATGTATTTGGACTTTCAGAAAGTCTTTGACAAGGTCCAACACCAAAGGCTCTTAAACAAAGTAAGCAGTCATGGAAGAGGAGGGAAGGTCCTCTCATTGATCAGTATATGGTTAAAATATAGGAAACAAAGTGTAGGAATAAATGGTCTGTTTTCACCATGGAAAGCAGTAAATAGCAGGGTCCCCCCAAGGATATGAACCGGGACCAGTGCTGTTCAATATATTCATAAATGACATGGAAAAGGGGATAAATACGAGGTGACCCAGTTTGTAGCTGATAATAAAGTATTCAAGATAGTTAAGACTAGAGCAGACTGTGAAGAGTTACAAAGGAATTTCATAACACTGGGTGACCAGGCAACAAAATGGCAATTGAAATTCAATGTTGATAAATGCAAAGTAATGCATATTGGGAAGCATAATCCAAACTATACATACAAAATGATGGGTTCTAAATTAGCTCTTACTACTCAAGAAAGAGATCTTGGCGGCATTCAGTGAATAGTTCTCTGAAAACATTTGCTCAGTGTGCAGCGGCAGTCAAAAAAGCTAACAGACTGTTCTGAACCATTAAGAAAGGGACAGACAATAAGACAGAAAATATCATAATGCCACTATATAAATCCATGTGTGTGCCCACACCTTGAATACTACATGCAGTTCTGGTCACCCCATCTCTATAAAGATACACTAGAACTGGAAAAGGCACAGAGAAGGGCAACAAAAATGAATAGGGGCATGGAACAGCTTCCATAAGAGAGATTAAAAGACTAGGACTGTTCATCTTAGAGAAGAGATGACTAAGGGGAGATATGATAGAGGACTATAAAATCATGAATGGTGAGGAGAAAGGGAGTAAGTGTTATTTAGCCCTTCACATAACACAAGAATCTGGGTCACCCATTCAAATTAATAGGCAGCAGGTTTAAAACAAACATAAGGAAGTACTTGAGTGATCCATCCTATCGTCCAGTCCCAGCTTCTGGCGGTCAGAGATTGCGGAACACCCAGAACATGAGGTTGCATCGAAGGTTCCTCTAAGGTGCGCGCCTGTGCGGCCACGCAGAAGGCCACCAAGAACTGTGCACTTAATGAGCAGAGCCACGCAGGTGTTCACACTGCACTCAGGGGTGTGGCCACAGGTGGGCCTGGAAGATGAGGTGAGGTGAGGAATAGGGAGGAGGTGGGTGCAGTGGGGTGAGGTGGGGATGTTGATGGGGGAGCTTGGAGCATGCAGGGCTGCGGCAACTCCCCCAGCCCCAGGGCTGTAGCAGGGTGAGATGCCTCTCCCTCCCAACCCTGGAGCTGCTGTGGGGAGAGACACCTCTTCTCCAACCCCAGCCCCGGAGCTGCTGTGGAAGGGAGGGATGCTTTTCCCCCTGGCCCCAGCCCCAGAGCTGCTGCAGTGGGAAGAGATGCTCTCCCCCAGCCCAGGTGCTGCTACAGGGAGAGAGGGCTGAGGGGAGTTCTCTATCCTCACCGCAGCCCTAGGGCAGCCTGCACCCCAAACCCTTCATCCCTGGTCCCACCCCAGAGCCCGCACCCCCAGCCGGGGCCCTCACCCCCTGCAGACCAACCCTGACACCCCTCCCACACTCCAAATTCCTCAGCCCCACCCCCACCACACATCACCTTCATATTGGTTCACATAACAAAATTAATTTTGCACATGGATGGGAAAAATTAGAGGGAACATTGGTTACATCCCTGACCATTTTGGTTTAAACCACTGATGGGCCTATCCTCCAGAAACTTATTTAATCCTTTTTTGAATCCAATTATACTTTTGGTTTTCATAACATCCCATGGCAATGAGTTCCATGGGCTGACTGTACATTGTGTGAAGCACTTCCAGTACTCCTTTTCTTTTTGCGAATACAGACTAACACGGCTGTTCCTCTGAAATCTGATTCCTTTTGTTTGTTTCAAAACTTTGCCACCTCACCATGTACCCCTCTTTCCAGACATTTTTGAATATGTTGAACACCACTGGTTGCAGTACAGATCCTTGGCATGCAAACTCCTCAGCTGACCTAAAAGATGCCATCCTAGATGTTTAAGGAGCGTCATTGCATAAAACTAGGGTCAGCTATATAGCGGTGTGACCATTAAAAAAATAATTAGAAATCTCAGATTCATTCTCCTGCCTTCAGTGGTTTTGTGTGTAGAGCTTTCTTCATCATTTCCTGCATCCCTTCTAAAGTTCAGCATGGTATCTGGATGCTAGGTTCAGCACATTTTTGTTTAACAACTTTCCCACCCCTTTTCCATAAACTTGTGTTTTTTGTCTTTTTAAGGGATTGTTATTACATTTTAGTATCCTTGAGTATTGCCTGAGAGAGTTATGAAGCCATTTAAAATTAAATTCCAATGAAATCCTTACTTGGTTGAATCATTATTCAGACTTATTTACATGGTGGAGAGGTTTCAGCTTTATTTCTTTTTTTAGGACTCCCTCCAACCCCCAATTCTGTTGTCCGGGAGTGATGACCCAGATGGGAGAATATTAGGGTTGCTATGGTACATACTCAAAACCACTTTTCCACAGACACACGTAGAAATAACTGGGGAACAAACACTGGAAAGTTACACACAAGGAAACACATTTTTTATTTTACTCATTAAAGATTCGTTCGCCTCGTTTACAGCATTGATTTACTTCAAGAAAATAAAGACATCTTGGAAAAAGTAAAGAGTTTCTTTGCATTTTCATTCCCTGTGCTTGCCTGTCTTCATGTTCTCCTTTTCTTTTGTTTAGCTGTTACTTCACAAGGGCCACCATTTTAAAAATAGGTGTAAGGTGCACACCAACAGAGTTACTGCATATTTGGTGAGTTTCTATATGTGCAACATGCATGCATGTGTTTTTGCATGCTACCACTGGTTCTGTGTTTGAAAGTTGGTCCACAATGTATCCTACACTTATGAGTATGTAGACATTAGCATATCCTATTCGGTTCTGCCTCCAATATTGGACAATATCAGATGATAGGGAAGACAAACAAAAACAACGAACCTGGCCAGTTCAGTGCCGTACATAAAGTGGGTGCAAGGGTGGATTTTATCTGAGCCCAGCAGGTGATAAGCTTATGCTCTGTAGTTAATTAAAGTTGTCAATATCTCAACCCCTATATCTACAAACGTTTACGGTCACAAAATTATACCTTCCTTTTAACAATTCAGTAACAGAATTTGCTTGGTAATGGGCTGCTGTAATGAATTCCACAGACTGCTGATCCACTCTGTAATTACAAGTCTCTCTAGAAAAACTGTCTTCATTACTGAAACCTTTGAGATTAAATATTTTTCAGAAAGTTTTGTGCTGAAATCTTTCCAGAGACAGGCCTTCTGAAGGGACACCAACAATCGTATTCTAAGAGGCATCATTGCCTCACAGCAATAATAAAAGGACCATCTTTCATTTAAGACATGACACTCCTCTAGCAATCAAACCTAGCATCCAATAGACCTTATTCAGTACAGATATCCACAAAGGACTTAGGAAATAGTTTGTAATAGATCCTAAACGTTTCTCCCAATCAATATAGTCCGGTTGAATTTTTCCATTGGGCAGATATTCCCACTACTTTACTGCAGAAGCCCTTTTATTTCTAAATTAAGCTGCACTGATCTAATTTAGTACTTAGAGATAACCTTAATGCTCCAGAAATTAGTTCTTTACTTACATCCCTATTTATCACAATCAGCCCCGATGGCAGCACACAATGTACTTTTTTTCCTGTTCTGAACCATTTCCTTTTTAATGATTAACACTAACTTTCTGCACTATCCAAGCAGTTTCTGAAGTGTGAGTGCAGGTTTTATTTGCATGTAAATAAAATCTCTGTTTTGGAATGCAAGGCTGACACAGTGAACCAGTAGACAGGATGTTACACGAAATCACCTCTTCCCTTCCCAACAAATAGCATCTGGTTGTGACAACTTTAAAAACATACTTCAGTAAAATATTGCCAGACTGGGACTTTATTAGCAACGCAGGAAACATCACTATATTCAGCTGTTAAGATCAAAGCATTAAGCCACAGTTGTAATTAGCCCTCTGTAGACACCACTAAAATGCAATACTGCACTGTTATAAATTAGAGTGATTGCTATAAAAAGGCCACTGTTTGATAACAGATACCACACAGCTATTCCTAGTTGAATAGTAGGGAAGCTGTGGTATCGCAGGTATCATGTTACAGTAAATGTGGACACATGCTGATTTTAAATGGCAACCACTTTATCACAGGCATTCACTGGCTAGAGAGAAAGCCTTTGACTTCTGTAACTTCTTAATATGCCATCAATATATTATATACATTTCTATTTATGCTGTTTCAGGTACAGGAGTACTGATGCTGAAGACCTGTAGGAAAACAGTACTTTTCAATGTCAGAATTGAAATATACATGAACGGCTGAAAAAATGAGTCCTTTTAGAATCATAGAATATCAGGGTTGGAAGGGACCTCAGGAGGTCATCTAGTCCAACCCCCTGCTCAAAAGCAGGACCAATCCCCAATTAAATCATCCTAGACAGGGCTTTGTCAAGCCTGACCTTAAAAACTTCTAAGGAAGGAGATTCCACCACCTCCCTAGGCAATGCATTCCAGCGTTTCACCACCCTCCTAGTGAAAAAGTTTTTCCTAATATCCAACCTAAACCTCCCCCACTGCAACTTGAGACCATTACTCCTTGTCCCGTCCTCTTCCACCACTGAGAATAGTCTAGAACCATCCTCTCTGGAACCACCTCTCAGGTAGTTGAAAGCAGCTATCAAATCCCCCCTCATTCTTCTCTTCTGCAGACTAAACAATCCCAGTTCCCTCAGCCTCTCCTCATAAGTCATGTGTTCCAGACCCCTAATCATTTTTGTTGCCCTTCACTGGACTCTTTCCAATTTATCCACATCCTTCTTGTAGTGTGGGGCCCAAAACTGGACACAGTACTCCAGATGAGGCCTCACCAATGTTGAATAGAGGGGGACGATCACGTCCCTCGATCTGCTCGCTATGCCCCTACTTATACATCCCAAAATGCCATTGGCCTTCTTGGCAACGAGGGCACACTGCTGACTCATTTCCAGCTTCTCGTCCACTGTCACCCCTAGGTCCTTTTCCGCAGAACTGCTGCCTAGCCATTAGGTCCCTAGTCTGTAGCTGTGCATTGGGTTCTTCCGTCGTAAGTGCAGGACCCTGCACTTATCCTTATTGAACCTCATCAGATTTCTTTTGGCCCAATCCTCCAATTTGTCTAGGTCCTTCTGTATCCTATCCCTGCACTCCAGCGTATCTACCACTCCTCCCAGTTTAGTATCATCCGCAAATTTGCTGAGAGTGCAATCCACACCATCCTCCAGATCATTTATGAAGATATTGAACAAAACCGGCCCCAGGACCGACCCCTGGGGCACTCCACTTGACACCGGCTGCCAACTAGACATGGAGCCTTTGATCACTACCCGTTGAGCCAGACAATCTAGCCAACTTTCTACCCACCTTATAGTGCATTCATCCAGCCCGTACTTCTTTAACTTGCTGACAAGAATACTGTGGGAGACCATGTCAAAAGCTTTGCTAAAGTCAAGAAACAATACATCCACTGCTTTCCCTTCATCCTCAGAACCAGTAATCTCATCATAGAAAGCAATTAGATTAGTCTGGCATGACCTTCCCTTGGTGAATCCATGCTGACTGTTCCTGATCACTTTCCTCTCATGTAAGTGCTTCAGGATTGATTCTTTGAGGACCTGCTCCATGATTTTTCCAGGGACTGAAGTGAGGCTGACTGGCCTGTAGTTCCCAGGATCCTCCTTCTTCCCTTTTTTAAAGATTGGCACTACATTAGCCTTTTTCCAGTCATCCGGGACTTCCCCCGTTCGCCACGAGTTTTCAAAGATAATGGCCAATGGCTCTGCAATCACAGCCGCCAGTTCCTTTAGCACTTTCCTTTCCTTTAACAGTTCCTTTAACACTCTTTTGAAGAAGTAGCTTCTGTAATAATTGTCAATCTTACTTATAATTGCTTGTTTCCTCAAGCAAAGTAAATACATTTTTAAATAAATAAATTAGAATTTTAAGAAATGAATATATGACATTTCAGTGAATTGCTATGTACATGCGGTTTTAATGGAAATAGCTTCAGTTGTCATGCTTGCTTGCAGGAACAAAATGTTCAATGGACATGATTAGTTGTGGCACTGAAATAAGGACACTATTGGAACTAATTTATGCCCCTATACTGAAAATATGTACATATCTGCTTTGCTTTACTACTGTGAGTAGCCTCCATTGAAATCAATGAAGTGATTGTAGTTTGAAGTTAGGCGTGTGTGTGTTTGTATGACCAGGGCCTTAGAATGGGTCTTTCCCAGTAAAAATGAAGACACACATTACACCTGGACAGTGCCAGCATCAGACTTTTTAAACATATGTTTCCAAAACTGATAAAAAAAATATTGTTAGAAAACCCATACACTTACAGCCAGCACTCGTAATATAGTAAATTAGAAAACGTGATATACAGTGTTCTCATGCTAAAGTTTATATCCCAATGTCAGTTGGAATAATGGTACAATTTCATCCTACCTGTAAATTGGTCTTATTATAGGACCAACAGTACTGATACAGATGCCAAAACATTGTAATAGCCCACACTCCTCTGAGAAGCCCATGACACAACCCTGTAGAATTCTACTGCTGGATTTGCATAGGACAGAAAATTGCCACCAAAAGAAGTTTCAGGAGAAATCTAGGAGGCAAGAGAAAGGAAATCTAGGAAGGAAGGATGTACACTGGTGGATTCATGCCTTTGAGAAGATCAATTTACAGACAGAAAAAACTTGTCACATTCCCAGGCAGACTGCATCTACCAATCTGAATTCTGGACACTGGGGAAAGGCAAGCAGTAGGCAATTTTTCCTTCTCAGTGGAACCACCAGTCAGACCGGAGTTTGAGGGTGATTCTCCATAAGTCCTTACATTACCTTGCAACCAAGGCTACCTCAGCAGAGGGGTGGAAAACCTACCTCATAATGTCTGATGAAGGAGTATACCAAAGACCAGCTGGTGGCTTTCAAGGTTTCTGATTATGACTCTGTTCTGAGGCACCCATAAAGTAGCTATATAACAAATAGCACTCACATGAGGAAAGATAACCCAGTGGTGAGGGCATTAGCCTAGGATTTAGGAAAGCTAGGTTCAAGTCCCTGTTGTGCTGCAGACTTCCGGTGGGGCCTTGTACAAACCAGTTAGGATTAGATTTTTAAAGTTATGTAGGTGCCTAACTCCCTTGATTTCAAGGAAGTTAGGTGCCTAAGCACGTTCCTGATAGGTTCCTATCTGCATCTTTAGTCTCTCTGGGCCTCAGTTACCCATCTGTAAATACAGATAACAATACTTCCCTACCTCAGAAGGTTGTTGTGAGGATAAATACATTAAAGATTGTGAGATAATGAGATAGTACAGTAATGGAGACATGTAAATATCTAAGGTAGATAAATGAGAGACTTAGGACCCAAGTAAGGCAATGCTATGTTTTTGTTCAGGTGGAAGTGGGACTTGCCCTTTGTGGACAAAAAGAGGAGGTTTTCTGGGGAAAACTTAATTAAGTAAGAATTTAATCAGCAAAGAGAATTGTACCAATGGAAAGAGTTGCAAGCTCACTGCGTCTATGAGTCATGGTAACTGCCACCAAAAGTAAAGTTTGGATTTAGCCTTCAACATTATAGCATATGAGGTGAGAAAAATGCAATATTAACCACATCAGCTTAAAGGAAAGAAACATACTTTTGCTTGTCACCCTCCTGAATTTGATAAAAGTATCTAGCAAACCCCATTACTAGAATTCTTCCCCACCCTCACCCCTTTTTAGGGAGATGCCATTGATTTCCACAGCATCTGGAATACAGAATCCTATTTCATCCTTAACTTTTCTTTTTAAAAGGGTCTTTCCTGGATTTTTCCTGTTCAGTATTCAGAATCATAAGGACACTGGTAATTAATTTTAATATTTATTCTAATAGAATAGTCTGGCAGTATGAGCAGAGGAAGACAAGGAGGAAAGAGAAATTTCACTCTCTCAGAAGGATGAAGAGGAAAAGTGAGAACGAGATCTCAATGCGGGCTTTAGTCTTCTATTGCTTTTGGCTATTTTCCAGTGTGGTTTGGGGTTTGCTTGTTTTTTGTTTGGTTGGTTTAGGTTTTTTTGCTTTGCTTTGCTGAGGCAAAGAAACTGGCTCACAATGGGCCAAATCTAAGGGAAAGGTGACTCAATCTCAGGGAACCAAAGGAGCGAGAAGGGGTGTCATAAATATAAAGGGAAGGGTAAACCCCTTTGAAATCCCTCCTGGCCAGGGGAAAGCTCCTCTCACCTGTAAAGGGTTAAGAAGCTAAAGGTAACCTCGCTGGCACCTGACCAAAATGACCAATGAGGAGACAAGATACTTTCAAAAGCTGGGAGGAGGGAGAGAAACAAAGGGTCTGTGTCTGTCTGTTGCTGGGTCTTGGCCAGGGATAGACCAGGAATGGAGTCTTAGAACTTTTAGTAAGTAATCTAGCTAGGTATGTGTTAGATTATGATTTCTTTAAATGGCTGAGAAAAGCATTGTGCTGAATAGAATAACTATTTCTGTCTGTGTATCTTTTTTGTAACTTAAGGTTTTGCCTAGAGGGGTTCTCTATGTTTTTGAAACTAATTACCCTGTAAGATATCTACCATCCTGATTTTACAGGGGGGATTTCTTTATTTCTATTTACTTCTATTTTTTATTAAAAGTCTTCTTGTAAAAAACTGAATGCTTTTTCATTGTTCTCAGATCCAAGGGTTTGGGTCTGTGGTCACCTATGCAGATTGGTGAGGCTTTTTATCCAACATTTCCCAGGAAAGGGGGGGTGCAAGTGTTGGGAGGATTGTTCATTGTTCTTAAGATCCAAGGGTCTGGGTCTGTAGTCACCTAGGCAAATTGGTGAGGCTTTTTACCAAACCTTGTCCAGGAAGTGGGGTGCAAGGTTTTGGGAAGTATTTTGGGGGGAAGGACGCATCCAAACAGCTCTTCCCCAGTAACCAGTATTAGTTTGGTGGTGGTAGCGGCCAGTCCAAGGACAACGGGGGGGAATATTTTGTACCTTGGGGAAGTTTTGACCTAAGCTGGTAAAGATAAGCTTAGGAGGTTTTTCATGCAGGTCCCCACATCTGTACCCTAGAGTTCAGAGTGGGGGAGGAACCTTGACAAGGGGTGATCAGAGGAGATTGCTGAATGGTGGGAGGGAAAGGTAAAAAAAAAAAAAAAAAGACATGCAAGTGGGGGAAAGCTCCCTCCAATGAACATATCCATATAGAAGAACATTTGGGTTCTATGCACCATAAAGACTGGGTCTGGATTGGAAGGTCTTGGAATAGGAAGGGGAATGCTTGAGAAGAGATAGTATTAGATGGGGGGAGGGTTGCAAGCCCTCAAGACTGAGGGGCTTTCACAGATTGCCTGCCTTTGCTAGCTTTCTTTGCTAGCTGAATCCTCCTCCACTTGTTAAATGTCAGCATGAGCAGGGGATCCTTGGTGGTACTGGGCAAGCGAAACACTCTGGCCCCCTGCAGAGTCATTGCTTCAAGCTCTTGGATTAGACCACTCTAGGCCTCTGAATCCACAGAACTGGGGAGTGTAGAGCTGCAGAGACTGGGCCCTGGAAGCAGGGGAAGAAAAGAAAAGAAAAGAAAAGAAAAGAAAACAAGAGAATAGCTAAAAGGGAAGGGAAAGGACAAGGTGAAATCCCCGAGGAGCACCAAAATGCTTCCTAAACATCTCAATTGAGGCAGACGATTGGAATCCATGGCCGAGCGTCTCCTTTTGTCCTGTGCAACACCAACGGTAAAACTCTTCAGTGCTTCCTTCATAGTGTTGTGTATTAGCATTCCCTTCCATAACTGCATAGTCCAGAGCCAGGACTGAAGGAGACCTTGCAATGACATTAGGCAGTACAGGCTGTGTTTAGTCAGTCTGGTATCTAGAGAGCCAGAGAAAATGACAAGAACCTGTCCTTGTAGCAGCAGAAATAAGAATCTCTTTTAATCACTAGTGCGTCCTGCCTCTTCAGTACCATAAAGCTGTTACACACAATTTCTTAAAGGTGATCAGACAACCCGGTAGTCTGAAATCCAGACTGGTAGATTCACTGCACCTAAAAATGTCACTTCAAGCTTATTCTTATATTAAAATATCAAGTAAATTAAGAGAATTGCAATATTTGATATTGCAAGTTAAAAGTTGTGTTTTCCAATAGCTTCCTGTCAAAGAATTAATAAGTTTACAGAGGGAAAATTATTACTTACACACAATTACCACACAAGGCCTCCGGAATACCGGGGCTCTTTATGGGCCTGACTCAGGAAGGCACTTACACACATGCTTAAATCCATCCGTGTTCAGGAAAGCACTTGAGCCCATGCTTTACTTCTTTCCCAAAAAGAGATGCTTTCCTTAATCAGAGCCTAGACACAAATGTACAGCATATCAATTAAATATAATTACTGGCATAGTTTAAAGGTCTGAGAGTTCTGATTAGTAGTTGAATTCCACAGAAACCTTTAATTCAGTAAGTATTAAACATAAGCCAGTTCAACTTGATCGTAAGTACTGAAGGTGCAATTCTTCTCTCTGGCCACTTACCAGATCTCAACTCTGACATCTTGCTGCAGAATGCTTTGTTAGAATGGACACGTGATGCAACACCTTTCATTTTCCTGGCAGTCCCATCAGTTTAAACTTTCAGCTTAAAAAAATATTCTAGTCCTTATGGTTACTAAAATATCCTTCTGATTAATAAACAATACAACATTGTTTTACTGTATCTACAGACAAAAATACTGAAACAATAGCTCTGAGGGTGTGCCCCCTTCATCTCAATGAGCTATTAACTCAAAGCTAATATTAATAAACATTTTAAATGTCAATATTGTTAACTGTGAGCTGTTGGACAATTTTACCAGAAACAGACAACAAATGTGCTTGTTGATTTTGGTTGGATAACAAATAACTCAGGAATACAAGAGATATATTAGGTCAGACTCATTCCCTGGACCAGATTTTTCCTGACAGAATTTTTTTTTTCCACTTTGTCCAGTCCAGTTTTAAATAACTCATGAAATGAAGATTTTTCCACTTCCCTGGGGAGACGTTCCCATAGAATAATAGCAACTATTTTCCTGAGTTTAGTTTTTATTTAATTTCATCCCATTATTCATACTTATAGACTAGCCGAGTAAAACACCAAGGAAGGGGGGCATAAGCCACCAGGGGAAGGTGGCAAGAGGAAGGAGGGCAGCAACAGACACCAGAAGAGTCAAAAGACAATTAAGCAGCCACCACGTTGAGAGGAGGGAAATGATCAGGGAAGGGGCTAAGGAGAGTTTAAAAGAGTCCCACAACTTTTTCCCCTCTTTAAGCACATAAGAAAACTGGAATCCACCAGCGTGGATCTGAGAGGAGAAATCTGATCTTGAAAAAATACTGAGTAACTGTTCTCCACACTCCACCTCATAAAAGAGAGCCAGAGTTCCCACAGAAATTGCTCATGTTCCTGGACTTTTTGTTCCCAGAGAAGGAAAAAAGAGACTCCTCAGCAGCACATAGCAAAATGTTACCACAGTCTTGCAAAGCTGCCATGAAAAATTACCAGCCATGACATCCTTCCTCTCTCTCAAGAGCCAATGTAGAAACATAGGAATTGCATACCATAACAGACCAATGGTCCACTCTACTTCTCTGTCTCTGAGAATGACCAAGGAAGGATGTTTCCTAATACCTAATACAATAAAATAGCTAATTGGGTAACTAATTTTGTAAGACTGCAAGGATTTTTATTCCCTCATACATACTTAGGTGTTCACATGATAAGACAAATCACAGAGGTTTGAGTTGACCTCATAATATAGCACCCCACTGCTGAAAGAAGAGGGGTTCAAATTTTTCTCTACCTGGATCAACTCACCACTATTTATACTGAATACAAGTAGCTTGCATCATACTTAATGTAACCTATAGCGAAAGGATATATTCCTTTATATTTTGTTTACTTATCATTTGTGTCACTAGCAGTAACTGGTATAAAGGCTCAGTCTAGAAGTTAAGTGCAGGGTGTGTACATACACATACATATTACCATAACAAGGTGCCATAAACACAAAACTTTTGGCAGCTTCCATACAAAATGAGTACAGAAAACACTCTGTAATCATTACTGATGTTAACTGCAAAAGCAAATACTTTTAATCTATAAAAGAGAAACAGTTTGTAACATAAAGGCCCAGTTCAGTGTTTTAAAAAAAGGACACCTGTAGACCTATCCAGTGCCCACTGAAGTCAGTGGAAAGACTCAGTCACTTCAGTGGGAGCTGGACCAGGCCCTGGAAATCCAGTACTTCCCCAGATTCTCAAAATCTAAAAAAGGTCAAGTAACAATAACAACAAGCTATGGGCCCAATTCATTTAGGAAAGGAAAAAACAAAGAGGACTAAATTAACAAGAAAGGGTTTCATGTATTGTCATCTACAACTCCCTTCCTGCGCTGGCTCCGAAAGTGGCGCTCGATATTTATTGTCACTTCCCTCTGCAGGTTTCTGCTGTTGGTTTTTCCAGCTGTTCTGATCCAGGGATGCTGAAGAACTTGTTGAGCCGTGTAACGCTTTAAAGGATCTATCACCAATAGCCTGGTTATCAGATCTTTCGCTGCTATTTCATGCCAAAAAAAATAGGAGAAGGGGGAAAAAAGTACAGTGTGATTATGTGGATGGCCTGATGTCCAGTTACAACCAAATAAAACATTATCTTCATTTTCTTACTACTTTTGTCATAACAATATGTATGACTATCACTGAGTCAGTGCAGTGACTGGAATCAGAATTTAATGCCATGAGGTGACATATCCCTAATATGACTTTTGGCATCACCACTGTCCCCCAGGAGAAGCCAGGAGGGCAGAGACAAAGGGCAAATTTCCAAACTAGGGGATTTAATCTGCAAGGCACTAGAAGAGGACAAGCAACTGAGGGAGCTTCTGGCTGCTGGGTCTGGTTACTTGGTGCCGGGCCTGTAGAAGAACAGAGTTCTATGTGTATGCTTAAGACTAAAGGCCCTGCTGAACAAAGGCTTTCAAAAGAGATACTGCAGACAGATAAAGTACTAAACTGGATAAGGAATCCCATTGACTTCAATGGGGCCATGGTGTCACCCTTGGACATTATCCTTGTGTGTCTTCTTGCACAGACCTTCAGACTCTAACATCACCAAATGCACTGCTTTGATGCCTTATTTGTGGACACATTTATAGCCAAACTGCAGAAAAACCCCTTGCTCTTCAGAAAGGGAAGTATATCCAATTTAAATGTATCAGATCTGATTTTCATACACACAGCTGTTGATATGAACTGAGGACTAAAGTCATGTTTTAAAAAATACTGCGACAGAGTCCGTAAGATCCTGAAGTAGGTTATAAGTAATGAATCTTACCACCCGAAATACTGTCCCAATACGGTGAAAGGAATTCATAATGACCCAGCTGTATGATTTGAAACAGTTCTTCCTGATCTCGCTCCTGACTTCGGAAAGGAGGGAAGCCACACAGCAGAATATAGAGTATCACACCAGTAGCCCACATATCTACTTCCAGTCCATAGCCTAGGGAAAAGAAAGGAAAATACCATTTTTCATACCACAGGTTAAATGCCTCTTAACAAAAATACCTTTTAGAGATGAAACTCATACTTGCAAGGAACTGCCGGCTTCATATTACATTCTTTAAGAAACACAGCTTTGCCCGCTGTTCAGAAAGTCAATTTACTGATCAAGAGTGGTGAACGGAAGAAGAAGTGACCAGGGCACCTCTTGATAAACTGTGTACTACACTACACTATCCTTTTATAATAATAGTCCTTCCATAGCATCTTTCCTCTTCAAACATTGTCAGTGTCACGAGTGTCATTTATAGCTTAAATGAAAAAATGCAGCATACATTTAAAAATACCCTTGTAAACTAGTTCTTTTTAGATTCACATTCCCTTCCACAAGCAGTAAACGGATCCCAAATTTCCTTTGTAATTCTGTATGATTAGAGATGCGTGAGTCTGCTCTACAAAACAAGAACCATAAAAGGCACACTTATGCCCTGAGCAAAATTGAACCCCAAACCTTTTCCAGGTTTGAATCTATTTGGATAAGAAACTCCTCAAATCTTCCTTCTCTCTCTTGATCTTCCAATATGTTGGGTTGTTGCTTAGTGTGACCATTCAGGTTCACTGCCTTCTCTTGCACTGATGGGACTGTAAGGTTGTAGGGGCTTCGACCATGGGGTAGAAGAAAACAGGAATCTTCAGTGAGTAACACCAAAACAATTCTTCTTTCTTTATATAATTTTAACAAACATAATCTATGCTAGTTTGACTCTTGTCAACTGAGAAGAATATACATTTTAGTATTAATACATTAATAATAGAAAGGTTAGTGAGGTTTCTTTAGTGACAAGCAATGCACAGAAATATTTTATGAATAGAAAAGGCAGAGTAATTGTTTGATTTTTTAAAAACAGATATTATATTCACCCTTTTCAGCAAGTATTTCAGGGGCAACATATGTTGGTGTTCCACACACAGTAAATATGGGTTTTGTAACCTTCTTTGCAAGGCCAAAATCTGCTAGTTTCAACGTAGTAGATTTATCTGCATTATGCTGAACCTGTACCAAAACAAAACCAAAACCAAAACAGATCTTTAATCCAATGGCGTTTGAGGGACAGAAGCAAATGAACAGATCAAATTCAGAATGGGGATAAACAGAGAGGATAAAATCTTTAGCCCAACAGTAACAAATTCAAGTTAGCCAAAATGAAGTAAAATCAACATACCAATAAACAAGAGCAGTCTGTACATTCAGAAAGTCAAAAAGACAATGAACATTTTCAGAAGGAAAGGCTATAAATGAAAAAGAAAACTCACTCTTCTATAAATTGTGTTACTCAGCAATTTCCAAGGAAAAAACAGGTGGTGTGGCAGGTATGAATAAAGATGAAATTGTTCTTGTTCCAGACAGAGATTTCAATGTTAATTTATCCACCATCACCACCTTTGGAAACTAAATGCTTCACAAAGAAAAAAAACTGCGGGGTTCTTTCACACTCGTAACACTTCTGGTCACATCAATGTTGCACAGGTATTTCAGATAAGATATCAACTTTGTCGTAGCACTGCAAACTGATTCCCCTCAACTTGATTCATTTATATGGCACTATTAAGGGTTTTCAAAACCCTGAAATTTGCACATTATTCTGCCCAAATCTGTACTCTACATCCTGTTATGCAAATGGGTATTGGTGAGGTTGAACACAGGAATAATATAGAAAGGATAGAAGGGAAGGACCCTGATTCTGGAGCATTCTTCTCATCGCTATAGATCATTGGCAGATTACATCTCTGATATCCCTCTGGAAAATATTCAAAATGTACCTTCCATTCTAGTTTTGTTAGTACAGATATTTAATATTAATTTTTTTAAAACCATAATTAAAGAAATATTACATTTGAGAAACCAAAGTACTAGAAAGTCCAGCAACAGAAAAATGCTATTGAGTATATAAATATTCTTAATATTAGTACTTAGTATTCATATTAAATTTTTAAAAGAAAACTAATCATGTCTTTGCTTTGAAAGAGAAAATGTCAGCCTCTATCAAAATAGGAAACAAAGAAATGTGGCTAACTTTTCTGCAAAAAATCCAGCAAAATCCAGAGAAATCTGGACTTCACAGGTTTTAAAGGGATAAGTTAGAATGTGAGATGCCAAGCACACCTCACACCCCGTAATCACAGCTTGAGATGGCCAAAAATTCAAGATGGTCCTTGTAACAAAGCAACTGAGGGCACAGATGGGATGAGGTCTGCTATCCCAGACGCACTACCCAGTGAAAGTACATTTGTATTCATTGCAAAAATTATAAACATAACAATGCTCCCGGAATCCATTAAAGCAAAACTTTTTTAAGAAAAAGACATTTTCAATTCAAAAAAGAAAATAAGGTCTGTATTAATAATATAGTTAAGAAAAAAGCCATACTACTCTTTAGTAATGCATACCCAAACCTGCTGGGGTTTTTTAAGAATTAGTCAACTTCCCTGATGACATTTTGTATTCTAATTTCTCAGCAGCACAGCTGACAAAATGCAAAAAACATTATTATTTATACAAAGGTAGCAACCACAGTTTTCTAGAGCATTGTCTATACATAGAACAGTGGTGGGCAACCTGCAGCCCGCATCCACTGGTGGGCCACCAGACTGTCTGTTTACATTTTCACGGCTGCCCGCAGCTCCCAGGGGCCGCAGTTCACCGTTCCCAGCCAACGGGAGCTGCAGGAAGCGGCACGAGCCTGGCCACCACTTCCTGCAGCTCCTGTTGGCCGGGAACAGCGAACCGCAGCCACTGGGAGCTGCGGGCAGCCACACAAATGTAAACAAACGGTCTGGCAGCCCGCCAGCAGATTACCCTGATGGGCAGAAGGTTGCCCACCACTGACATAGAGGGAAACTCAGTCCAGGTTACCTAACAGAGCTCACACTCTAAGAATACAAGCAACAAATCAAGATGGATACAAGGATACAATAGAAATACATAAAGTCTTTATGTACACTGTGTATGTATGTGTCACCTGTATCTGGATATCTATCTATACCTATGTACATATACGCAGAACATTTTGCAAATATTTAATAAATGCATATCAAATATACCCAACTACCACTCAAACCCTGCAAATTATCTTATTAAGAAATAAATAAAAGTGAAATTCTCACATCCTCATTTACAAACTTGGGGACATTGGCCCCAGTCTGCAATGAGTTCCATGCAGGCAGACTGCCGCTCCTGTGCAGAACCCCACTCAACTCAATGAGGAGTGCATGGGTACCACCCATGCTGAATGCGATACTGTATTTTCTCTTTTATCAACCAATCTTCAACTCTACTCTCTCATTACAACACAAGGTGGCGATGGTGCACCACCTGTTATTTCAGAACACCACCAATTTGTTTTCCTTTCACATAGCAGCGAAATAAGTAGGAATACTAAACATCTTTGACATATTTTATGGCTGTGTAACAAACACACCTTTCAAAGAAAGTGCTGTAAATTGTTGGGCTGCTTAGAGGCCCCAACCACATAGTGATATACTAGCTCATTGTGCCTGGAAACAATTTAAAAGCCAGCCCAGGTGGGGTGGCTACCATTGCTCCACATAGTCCTTTTATCCCTGTCCTTATCATCTCTCTCTCTCTGCTATAGAGCCTTTCATCAGGCAGCAGAAAAGCAAGTAGACTTCCCCTACACAAATGTTTATGCACTCCAGTAGAATAAATTACTTGTCCATCTCTTTTTCCTTCTGAGGTCAAAGTATATTTAGTGATGTGACAGAGATCCACAGCTCCACAGCCTACTTGAGCTGAAAACCGACTGCCTCTCCCAAACCGACAGCGTATGTTCCACGGAACAGAGTACAATCTTGCCAACAAAACAAGGTGGTTAGTGCTGCCACCATCATAGTTAGGGGTTTCTAATGCATCCATCACTGTGCACCCATATGCTTTCTATTATCAAGCCACTATTTGACTTGGAAGGAACATTGCAGCAGCAGATCCTCTTTTCCCCCTCTCCATTACCCTGACCACGGCTACTCCTGCTCCTTTTCTCTGGCCATGTCTACACTATGAAGCTGAGCCATGTTTAACAGGAGGTGTCAAATACTGCTCCTCCTACACCCCTTCAACTGGAATTAAACAGGTGTCTTGTTTTTGTGGGACAGAGTCAACCACACTCAACATCCATGGTAGTGAAGTTTGCTTGCTCAACGTCGAAGTTTAGCTCAGCTGACTGAGTTAGTTGCTCAGGGAGAGACAGAGCAGCTGCATTCACCTGTTGTTGAGCATATTTGGTTTCTGTAGTGCAGCCACAGCCCTTACGCCTCCCAGTTCTGCTGCACTGAGTGTGGAAGGAGCTGGCAGACAGAGGAGTAAAAAAAACAAAAACAATGAGAGCAAATGACTGCTGTAAAAATTGCCACTGGTAGGTGGAGGGCAACACTAAATGGGGAAAAAAATAGTTTTCCTCATCATAGAATCATAGAAGATTAGAGGTGGAAGAGACCTCGGGAGGTCATCTAGTCCAACCCCCTGCTCAAAACAGGACCAACTCCAACTAAGTCATCCCAGCCAGGGCTTTGTCAAGCCAGGCCTTAAAAACCTCTAAGGATGGAGATTCCACCTCCTCCCTAGGTAACCCATTCCAGTGCTTCACTATGCTCCTAGTGAAATAGTTTTTCCTAATATCCAACCTAGACCTCCCCCACTGCAACTTGCAACCATTGCTCCTTGTTCTGTCATCTGCCACCACTGAGAACAGTCTTGCTCCATCCTCTTTGGAACCCCCTTCAGATAGCTGAAGGCTGCTATCAAATCCCCCCTCACTCTTCTCTTCTGCAGACTAAATAAACCCAGTTCCCTCAGCCTCTCCTCATAAGTCATGTGCCCCAGCCCCCTAATCATTTTCGTTGCCCTCCAGTGGATTCTCTCTAATTTGTCCATATCCTTTCTGTAGTGGCGGGCCCAAAACTAGATGCAATACTCCAGATGTGGCCTCACCAGTGCCGAATAAAGGGGAATAATCACTTCCCTCCATGTGCTGGCAATGCTCCTACTAATGCAGCCCAATATGCCCTTAGCCTTCTTGGCAATAAGGGCACACTGTTGACTCATATCCAGCTTCTCGTCCACTGTAATCCCCAGGTCCTTTTCTGCAGAACTGCCGCTTAGCCAGTCAGTCCCCAGTCTGTAGCAGTGCATGGGATTCTTCTGTTCTAAGTGCACTTGTCCTTGTTAAACCTCATCAGATTTCTTTTGGCCCAATCCTCCGATTTGTCTAGGTCACTCTGGATCCTATCCCTACCCTCCAGCATATCTACCTCTCCCCCAAACTTAGTGTCATCCACAAACTTGCTGAGGGTACAATCCATCCCGTCATCCAGATCATTAATGAAGATGTTGAACAAAAACGGACCCAGGACCGACCCCTGGGGCACTCCGCTTGGTACCGGCTGCCAACTAGACATCGAGCCGTTGATCACTACCCGTTGAGCCCGACAATCTAGTGAGCTTTCTATCCATCTTATAGTCCATTCATCCAACCCATACTTTTTCAACTTGCTGGCAAAAATACCGTGGGAGACCGTATCAAAACCTTTGCTAAAGTATATCACGTCCACCGCTTTCCCCATATCCACAGAACCAGTTATCTCATCATAGAAGGCAATCAGGTTGGTCAGGCATGACTTGCCCTTGGTGAATCCGTGTTGACTCTTCCTGATCACCTTCCTCTCCTCCAAGTGCTTCAAAATGATTTCCTTGAGGACCTGCTCCATGGGGACTGAGGTGAGGCTGACCGGTCTGTAGTTCCCCAGATTCTCCTTCTTCCCTTTTTAAAAGATGGACACTATATTTGCCTTTTTTCCAATCATCCAGGATCTCCCCAGAGCACCACAAGTTTTCAAAGATAATGGCCAATCGCTCTGCAATCGCATCAGCGGAGTCCCTCAGCACCCTCGGATGCATTATATCCTGCCCCATGGACTTGTGCATGTCCAGCTTTTCTAAATAGTTCTTAACCTGTTCTTTCACCACTGAGGGCTGCTCAC